GAAACCCTCCAAAGGAACGACATGATGATCCAAACAGCAACACACTAGAACACGCACGACATCTACATCTCCCATTGCCACCTTGCAGTATAAGTGGATGAATAAAAGAAATGAGGAAAAAAAAAAAAAAGAAAAGTTCACCAGACTGAGATTTTGTCTTCTTCCTCTTCCTGATCTTTTTGTCTTCCTTTGCAGTCTTATCCTCATCCTCATCATCATCAGGCGGAGCACGTTTCGGAGCAGATGAGAAGAAAATAACTTTCTCCGCAGACGGATTCGGCCACGACAAGATCCCCTTTTTGTCCACACAGCACAGCGCCTAGTCACGAAATATAGACACATGTCTGAGTCAAAATATAGACATACGATTTTACTGCAAGTTCATATTGTAAAGGTTGTAACATAAATACACAAGTCACAAAATACAGTCATAATGTAACTACACAAGTCACAAAATACAGTCATAACATAACTACGCAAGTCACAAAATACAGTCATAACATAACTACGCTAGTCACAAAATACAGTCATAACATAACTACGCAAGTCACAAAATACAGTCATAACATAACTACGCTAGTCACAAATACAGTCATAACATAATTACGCAAGTCACAAAATACAGTCATAACATAACGACGCAAGTCACAAAATACAGATACACATATTACTGCAAGTTCATAATATCCTAAAGGTCATAACACAAACTGCCCAAGTCATTTTTTCTCGCTTTGAGACCTAGGTCAACTTTATGACTAGGGAAAAAGCCCCCCAAAAAGTACAGTCAAAATTGTCCAAGACAGCAGCCACCCATTGTCTAAAGGAACAGTGGTTGTCTGAGACAGCTGGATATATTGGACACTGTCATTATTCCACTGAAAAAATGCAAGGGGGGAAGTGGGAAGGGATTTTTTTTTTGCACAGGTGAATGTCTTGAACAGGTGGCCGTTAGAGCAGGGCTGGCTGTGGTTGAAAGAACAAAGCAACTGCTAAACATTACACCCTTTTGTTTTAGCAGAGGTTTTACGGCGCTCGCAACTGCATAAGGTCATATGAATGCTAGAAGATTAGAGGTGTTACAAGAGAGTAACAAACATTAAAAAAGGAAACGGGGAGATAACGATGATAGATGTTTGATAGGAAAGAAGAAACAAACCACACCAGAGCACCCGCCAACCACCAACGCATAACACCCTGTCATACGTCACTTTTCAAGATGGCGTATGGCAGCGTCTTACACTAAGCAGTCAAAAGAAAGTTTCTGGTTTATACAACAAATAAAAGAAATTTCCAGACACGACAAATAAACATACATGTAGCGGGCTGACAAAGTTAACTACTTCTCGAATTCGAGTCCTAAGGAAATAGATGCATCACACTTATAGGCGAAGTTTTTACAATTTATAAGTATGAAATAATAAAGAGT